GAGAGAGAGAGAGAGAGAGAGAGAGAGAGAGAGAGAGAGAGAGAGAGACAGAGACAGAGGCAGAGAGACAGAGACAGAGACACAGAGATAAACAGAGAATCAGAGATAGAGAGACAGAGACAGAGAGACAGAGACACACATGCTGCACATGTAGGAAAGGGTCAAAACCAGAGGCTTTTGCATGCTCTGCTAGGAAAGCACTCTCCCACTGAGCAGCAGCACCAGTCCTTTAGAGCAATTACTTCCTGAGCCCACAGAGGCAGAGAGACAGAGACAGAGACACAGAGATAAACAGAGAATCAGAGATAGAGAGACAGAGACAGAGAGACAGAGACACACATGCTGCACATGTAGGAAAGGGTCAAAACCAGAGGCTTTTGCATGCTCTGCTAGGAAAGCACTCTCCCACTGAGCAGCAGCACCAGTCCTTTAGAGCAATTACTTCCTGAGCCCTCACTACCACGAATTGCCCTGAAATTATTTGTGAGACGCTTCATTGATCATATTTGTAAAGTGCATCTTATACTAAAGATGCCTTTGAACCGCCTGAATGAAAGATTTAGAAAGGTCTGGCTGAGCAAATCTGTGCTGTAATTAGATTTTACCCTTCTTAGAGAATAAGCTTTTTAAAGGACTGTGGCATATTCTCTTCTCTGTGCTGAGCGAACACAAGTAGCTAATTTCAGTGCCTTCCTTGCTTATGGTACCAGCTCACAAAGCCTCTGTCACAGGCCTTTTAGCAACTGTCGCTCAGGGGTTCTTGAAATGGAATTTCTTTATGAACACTCAATTTTTCCAGTATTTCAAGATTCCCTTTCCCTTAGTCCAGTCACTATTCATTAATAAAGCTTGTCTTCAATTTAGTATGAATGAATGAGACCAACCCAGGGAACCTAAATAATTTCAAAATAAGTTACTATCGTGGGTCAGCTATTTTGGAACATGTTTAGAACACAGTTGAAACGATTTGTAAATACTGTTGGAGGATGAGAAACGGCGTCACCTGACGTTAAAAAAGTAAAGTCAAACTGAAAGAGTAGCATCATTGGGGTAAAATCACAGACTTGACCTCTCTACACCAGGTTAATCTGTTCAATTTCTACCCTGACTTCAGACAAATATTGTTCTTATTCCAATTCCTTTTTATGACACCCATAACTCTCTGAAACTTCAACTCATTTACTAAGAAATTTCACACTCAGAAATCTTTATTATTTCTTTTGTTAAAAGTATAATTAAGTCTGCACATGGTGGTGCAAGACTGTCACCCTTAAACTTTGGAAGCTCAGGATCAGAAGTTCAAGGCCAGTCTGGAATACAAAGCAAAAGAGAGAGGGGTCTGGAGAACATGAGTGAACTAGGGGCTGGGGACACTGCTTAGTGTTTGGGCACCGTCCCTGTATGCCTGAAGCCCTGGGTTCCATCCCAACACTAAAAGCTATAAAAAAAAAAACTAAACTAAACTTGGGGTTTGGTTTAAACTGTATGCATAGGAGAAATCAGTAAGCCTTATAACTTAATCTTCAAAGGTAAAGCCTGAAAAGGTCAATGAGAAGGCACAATGGAAGCCTTACTTTCTCCCTTCTTCCTGCTTCAGTGTTCAAAGCCAGCACCCAAGTGTTGGGGGAACAGACCTTGTACTAGAATGATGCTCTACCCCATACTTCTGATGGTGGGAGCAAGGGATGATCAGAGGAAAGCTTGAACCTAGGTTCCCTTCCCAGTGATATGCTGGTCTTTCTTTTTGGTGTAGAACAGGCAAACTGAAAAACACACCCAATTCTCTTCAAAAGGACTACGTTTTAACATGACAACAAAACCAGAACAGCATTTGGGGTTTTTCCCCCAAGACTCACCCACAATGGTCATGTTGCAGCTTAAGGTGACGATGAGGAACCCCAACAAGTCCAAGTTCTCCATGGTTGAAGAAAGCCACAGGCCTGGGGTTGCTTGAGGGCCTAAAGGCCTGTGTTCTCCAAGGAGGTTTAAAATCAGTACATTTCGGCTATATCAGAAGTCAAGGTGAGTGCCAAACTGTGGAAAGAAAGATGTAATCCCAGGCCTCAGAGATGAGGTTTCCTGTCTCCACGTTGAGGCAACCCTAAGCCACTTGCCAATGAAAAACAGGCACTCCTGACAACTGTGGGGCCCAGATGCAAAAGTCATCTCTCCCTGTGGCTATTCTTACCCTCCTGGGACATTCCAAGCCTGTGGCTGTTCTTGTATGTCTCTACCAGGAAAGCCAGGCACTTTAGGATATAATAGAAGCAGCTACTTTTAGCCCAAGAAAGAAAACTTCTGTTAAGCAGCCAAGCAAGTGTCTTTATTAAAAAGCTATTCACTATAGCTGGGAGGATGGTTCTGTTGGTGAAATGCTTTCTGCACAAGCATGAGGACCTAAGCTCAAAGCCCAGCACCCATATCAAAAGCCAAGCATGGTGGTACATGCTTGTAATCCCAGTGCTGGGGGTGGGCAGAGACAGTCAAATCCCTAGCACCCACTGGCTAACCAGACTATCTTAATTAGTGAGCCCTTGGTCCCAGGGAGAGACATTGATTCAAAAAAACAAGGTGTACAGCACCTGAAGATGATACCCAAAGTTGACTTCTGGCCTCCACAAACATGCACACATATGGACACCTGCACAAAAACATGAACACATGTGTGTGCATGTGTACACATAACCACACAAAGCCTCCTTGAAAACACACAAACTCCCTGAAAACATGTTCACAAATACTTGTGCAGAAAGTCCTAAAGCGCTCATTTTGACCTCTCTAAAAAGTTTAATGATCCTTACACAGTTTATAAAGATCTTGCCCTCATTGTGAGCTTCTGAGCCGTTGAGATAAACACAGATCTCCACCTCTGTGCTTACATCTAGGCTGTGCGACTTGCACGGTCTTCAGGAGCAATGCTTCAGCAGTTCACTGCCTGCCAGTGAAGTCACTACATCTCTCCCCACAACCTGATCCTGCAGTAAGGACACAGAGACAATGGTGATGGCACCAACTAGCTACACCAATGTGACTGCAGTCCCCAGCCCTCCTCTTCCTTGTGTCTGCCGGCCCTATTCATCCTATCCATCCCCAGACTGTTCCTATTGAACCTGTGGAATCAATCTTGTTAAATTTATTTTAAAATTCACCATCTGGACCTGCTAGCACTAATCACAGATCCCCATGGCACTTGTCAGAGCCTTCTCACATCTAGAAATTATAGGTTTTTGAAGATGTTTTATAGCCCAGTTGTGTATGCTCAAGTTTCAAAGATGCTGGACACTCACTGTCATCAAAGATCAGCTGGGGGCAGTGGGTACTGTGTTTAAGGTCACCTTAAACAGCCAAATGACCACAAAGAGCACAAAAATGAAAAAGGCACTAAACAGACCATGAAAAAACAAACATACATGATGGCGATCCCAAGTTTGTACCCTGCATAGTGCCCACAAATGGCTATGAAATCACCACATTTAGTGAGTGGGTGACTTAGCAAGTATGAACTCTGTAAAAGATGATTGATTGCATTCAATAACCAGGATCTACTATAGAGAAGAAAAGCTGAGGCCAGTGAAAGGGTACTTTTAAGGGTGATGAGTTCAAGTCCAGCCAGTACTACATAGTGAGACCTTATCTCCAGAAAACAAAGCAGAAAAGCCTGGTTGCACAGGCGTGTCCCCCCAGGTGGGAGACAGGCTTGAGCCTAGGGTGAAAGTCTTATTGACAGCCATACAGCAGGCCCGAGGCAACGGCCTGACTGCTGGAGCCACAGGAAACGCCTTGTGACATTTGCTCCCACTGACAGATCATGAGACTGATGCCTAGAGCTCCCCACTCCCTAATCACCACCCTTGGAATTACAAAATTGCAACACTTAGATATTGCAACAGTCAGGGTCATGTGGTTTTCAGGAATCCAGGCTCTGTAATCTGAAACCCATTATGCTAATGAGGCATCCTACCCGCTGTTCTGTGATAGGATGTTAAGTCTGTTATGCTAATAAGGTATCCTGCTTGCTGTACTGTGAGAGGACGCTAAACCTGTTATACTAATAAGGTATCCTACTTGCTATGCTGTGATTGGACCACTACCCCTATATAAGATTGTGCCTTCCTGCAATAAACCAGATCTGTGTCACTGAACGTGGTCTCCTGTGTCTGAATGTGGCTCCGATGACACAGTCTCCTCACCAGCCCTGGGGTCCAGGACTGGGCAGAAGCAGCGACAACAGAAGGCAGCACTGGGCGAGCAGAAGAGTGGCCTCAGCCCAGAGCAAGCGGAGGAGCAGCCTTGATGCCCATGAGAATGAAGGAGAAGCTGCTGCTGGCAGTGACCACACCCCCAGACACTTAGGAAGCTGAGACTGGAGGATCTCAAATTCAAAGGTTTCCTGGGCTACAGAGTGTGTTCAGTCTGGGCAACTTGGTAAGACCCTGTCTCAAAATTAAAAGTAAAAAGAAGCCAGGCATGGAGGCAGAGGCAGGCAAATCTCTGTGAGACTGCTGCCAGTCTCCAAGCCAGGAGGGGTTACAGGAAGACCCTGTCTTAAAACAAACAAAAAAGTAAAAAGAAAGCTGGAGATATATCTCAGTGGTAGAATACTTGCCTAGCATATGTGAGGCCCTAGGTTCAATCTCCTATCTCTCTCTCTCTCTCTCTCTCTCTCTCTCTCTCTCTCTCTCTCACACACACACACACACACACACACACACACACATACAATTTAGAAGAGAAACGTTCCTTAGCTACATGGAACTAGGGAGACAGTTCAATTGGTAAAGTGTTTGTGGTACAAGCACAAGAACCTGAGTTTGATCTTCAGAACCCATGTGAAAAAACCGGGGGTTGTGGTGTGCATTTTTAATCTAGTGCTGGGGAAATGGAAACAGGCAAATCCCTAGAGTTTGCTGACAAGCCAGTCTGGCCCACTTGGAGAGCTTCAATTCAGTGAAGGGCCCTGTCCTGAAAGGAAAACTGGTGAACGGCATCTGAGGAATGGCACCCAAGGTTGACCTCTGGCCTCTACATACACACAAATGGCCGTGAGTACACACACACACAGTTATGGAAACTGGAGTGACGATCAAAGCTCCCCCACTCAGCCTGGCTCTAATGCTTTGGCTTCTTCCCGTCTTATTGTTTGTGGTCGACAGCTAAGACTCACCTTGAAAAGGTGCACTGAAAAGGCAGAGAAAGTATGGTAGGCAGTGGCTGCCAGCAAGGTCAAAGACACCAACTTTGGGGTCTGACAGTCTGGATTGATGTCTAGCTTTGTGTCTGTGTAATCTTAGAGGAGTTTTCTCACTATAAGGACACAGAACCCATCCATCAAACGACTGTACAGGACAAATGAAAACTATTAGCAGGCACGCCAAACCTTTTGACATGACAAGATGTCATTTATAAAGTTCACATTGCAACTGGGCTACAAAAAGAACAAATCACAAGAATATCAAAATATCTAAAGGAAGATTGTGATTTTGTGTTGGGCCACATTCATAGCTAACCTTAGTGGCAGGCCAAAGTTTGGACACATCAGAGCCCTAAAGTAGATAGACCAGTTCTCAGATAACCATGTTCATTTTCACTAGTTTTTTTTCCTCTGATCACCTGCCAAGAATCAGGAGCCAGTGAAAGCTCCTGGTCCTGCAGCGACTGTCCTCCAGAGCCTGGACTGTCCAGTCCAGAAAGTCATTTCACAGAAAACTATTTTTCTTCCCATACACAAAGTGGCAAAGGATACCTAGCAAAATGGGGCTCAGTTTCTTGAAGGCATGGAAATTGCAGCGTTTGCTTCCTTTGGCTGGGTGCGTGTTTAAGGAATAGCTTAATCATGTAAGTTGAGAAATGAAGGCTTCATGTGTTCTCAGGATGTGCATGGTGTCAGGACTGTGGGTAGAAGGCACATGGGCACAGGTGTGCCAGAATCACAGTCACTGCTCACAGTTGTGCCTCATTTATATATGCAAATCTAGAAAAACAGATTCTAAGTAATTCCTTCCCTGACAGTCTAGCTCACCACAGGCCTGGGCAGTCTAGGGTGATCTGCTCTGTGCAGTCCTGCCCTGAGGCTTGACACACTGGCAGTAGACTGAAAAGCTGAGTCAAGGAGGAAGCTGTCCGGATAAACATTTTCCTGATCTGAATGCCCTGAACCTGCCATCCTGGCCTGTTGGCTTCAGCTCAGTGTCATAGCTTACAGTGTCTGCAAAAATTGGCTTCCACAGTGTCTATGTTAGTTAGGCTCATTCTTTATATTTGTCTTTTCTTCTGTGTGTGTGTGTGTGTGTGTGTGTGTATGTGTGTGTGTGTGTGTGCATATATGTGTGCAGGGGTACACGCGTACGTGTGCATGTGCATCTGGAGGACAGAGGTCAACCTCGGGAGTTGTTTCTCAGGAGCTCTCTACTCTATGAGACAGTCTCTCACTGCTTTGCTGATTAGGCTAGGCTGACTGCCGGGGGATCCATCTGTTTCTGCCTCCCAGTGCTGGGATTAGAAACTTGAGCCACCACACCTGGCTTTTCACATGGGGGTGGGGACTGAACTCAGGTCCTCATGCCTTCTAGGCAAGTACTTTACCAAACAGCTCTCTCTCCCCAGCCCCAGTTGGGCTGGTTCTACAAGCAGAGAGGTGTGGTCATTCTCCCAAAGGAGGCTGAGAGCTTCCAAGCATTGTCTTTGTTTCAGATAAGCTTAGTCTTTTAAGAGGCACTGAAGGAGGACTGGGAAGATAGCCCAGGTTGAGAACCTGAGGTCAGCCTCCAGAATCCATGTAAACGTGGAAGGAGAGAACCAAGTCCACAAAGCTTTCCTCTGACTTCCACATGTGCACTGTAGTATCTGTCGGCTCACATGCACACATCACACATACAGGCACATACAACACAGACACACCAATGCACACAGACACACATATAAACATAGTCACACATCACATATGCAGGCACACTTATCACACAGACACACACATGCATACACACAGACACACATATAAACACAGACATACACAGACACGTATGCACACTGACACACATACATACACACATACAGACACACTAATAATAAAAATCTTTTAAAAGACACTGAAGGAACTCAACTCCACCTTCTGAACAATAAAATGCTACATCAGCCACAGGAAGACACCCTTCCCAAAAGACCTAGCTAGCATCTTTGTGGACAGCGATTAACTAAATAACAGACTGGCCATGACACCCAAAGCATTCTGATGAAAGATGCAGATCAATCGCCTCTAGGACTGATCCATAAAACTATGTTCCTCACAAGGCAGCTCAGAGAGGCCAGTTGGGGCACTCATAGCCCCCACAATTCTATTTTTCACACATCTGCTGAGTCATACAACTTTGACAACAGAAATGGCCTTAAAATCTTGCTATTCCACCTTCCCAGTCTTACAGGTGAAACTAAGATGTAGCTACCACCACCAGCCTCAATGCAGAGCATAAACGGTACTTGGTATTCTGTAGATTGGCCAGAGAACTTTTGACACAAAACATATGGAGGTCGTTGAAAAAAAGCCAACTCTCCCAAATGTTAGAAAAAATACCATTCTCTGGGGAGCAGCGTTTGAAGTTGTATTCACTTGACTTTTCCATAGAATCACCCTTCAGAAGCTGAGTGGGCAAACAAGGCAGGAGGGAATCCATAAAAACCCAGCAGACTCACAAAACTGGGGCTTGGAAAGAAAGCGAGACTCTACCATTAGCTTGCTTTTTGTTCACAAGGCCTGAATGATACGCCAGAACTTCATCTTTCTTGCAATATCAGTTGAAATCAAGTCCAACCCTGTCTCACCACTGAGGCCTATGCTCATTATACTGTTTCTATGAAAGCCCTTGGACTCCTCAGCACCTTCTAGTAGATCAGTGATAGTACAATGAACACAGTTCAGTCAATAAATATTTACTGAGCACTGGCTACTTCTCAGGCATCATTCTTGGCACTGGAGAAATAGCTGAGACTTGAAACAAATTTAAAAACTGCCATTTAGGGACTGGAGAGATGGCTCAGCAGCAAAGAACACTTGTTGCTCTTGCAGAGGACCTGGGTTCAGTTCCCAGAACCAACATGACAGCTTACAACTGTCCAGAACTCCAGCTCCAGGGGAATCCGACATCCTCTTCTGGCCCCCTGTGGGCACTGCACAACACAGGTACACTTACATCTATGCAGGCAAAACATTCATGCACATAAAATAAAAATAAATAAATAAAAGTTAAAATCGCCATGTGCAGCCAATGGAGAGATGTATAACTGGAACTGCTGAGAATAAGAGACCGAATGTTTGGCCCTAACTATGACATCTGTATTAATACCACCACCACCAAGGCTCAGGGAACATCGAAGAAAAGGAGGTTATAGGATTGTAAGAGCTGGAGGATGAAGAGGTGTGCTGCAGAATGCTGTCTTCTGTACATGACATGGTTATGATACTCAGGAACTCACAACTATTGTGGTTACCTGCATGAGATCTGTATTACATCAATCCAACCTAAATCCCAGCATAAAGGGTTAGATGATCTCCAGGCCCTACCCCTTACTGAGGAGCCATTGGCAGTGGATAGTTGCTGGGAAAGGGATATTCATTCTTCTTAAAGGATGTGGCCATTGGTAGGTTTCCCATGCTCCAGTGAATGGCTCCATAACCATGCACATATGGACAGAGCTAACTGGGCTTAGTGGGTGTCATGGCTAGCTTCAGTTGTCAACTTGGCACA